CAGCGATCCACCTCCAACAAGTCTCCATTCTCTAGCAGTACATTCAGCTACTGAACCCGTCAATGGATGAATGCACTGATGGCTATCGTGCCTCCGTGATCTAGTCATCTTCCATACACATGAGAACGGTGGTGGGGCATTTTAGACCCGAACCATGAAACCACTGTTAAAAAATATGTTAAATTCCTAACCCCCAGTACCTCAGAATGTGATCTTACTTGGGAATAGGGTTGCTGCAGGTACAATCAGTCAACATGAGGTCAGACGAGCTTGGGAAAGTTCTAAGCCAGTGTGACCAGTATCCTTACACAAAAATGGCTCTGTGACAGAGGCATACAAGGAAAGTGTAGTGTGATGGCAAAGACAGAGATTGGGGATGCAGCAAGCCAGAGTGCCAGGCTGTTAGCCAGTGGGAAGGGGTGAGAAAGGATTCTCCTAAAAGTGACAGAGGGAGTGTGGCCCTGGCTACACATGGATTTCAGACTTCTAGCTTCCAGAACTCTAAGGCGTTTTAAGGCACCTGGTTTATGGTCTTTTAATGTAGTCATCCTAGGACTAATATAATCATGAACCTTCTGTCAACCTAACTCGGGGGGAAACTTTTAAAAGTTTTATAACTACCTCCAACCCCCTATGGCTCAAATAAGAGCACTGGAAATATGGGCCAAATCCACTTGTGAATCTACTGCCACTATGTCTCCTGGGATAAGGTGAAGAAATTCACCATTCCTACGTTGTCCACTGAGAAATTCATGATGTCATGACCGTGATTCTGGCTCCTTTTAAAGTTTCAGCTTATTATAAGATTTTCATTTGTTTGTGAATGTGGCGCACAATTTGTGTAGTATTTCATTATGGGTATTTATAAGAAGACAGTGTTTCCTTGGAAAGGAAAGTTCACATTTACTCACCCTGAGGTCTACATATACACCTAGATCCTTTCCTCAGTGGACACTCATATCTTTTCCATTCTCCATCCTATTTCTCTAGCCCCCATTACACACACACACACACACACACACAGCTAAAGAGCTATATACCTCATTTTCTCTTGCCTCTGTTTGCAGGACCCAGAACTAAAAAGATAAAAAAGTCAAGAAGCATCATATTTGATCAAACTGGTTCCAATCTCCTTGCTGTAAATGTTTTCTTTTTTCCTTAAGGCCTACACTCTGAAAAAGTAAATGCATTCTTGACAAGATTTGACTGATTGATGATGATATGCGGATTGTTCAATTTGTTCTAGTTTTGGTAAAATAACATCTTGGCTCTGATTATATGTTCCATGTATTCATTTAAAAAAACTAAAGAAGATGAAGAGAAGAATGTAAAAATCATGTTTACCTTCTCACTCATCTATCATAAGTATTAACATTTTATATCTAGCTTTCCAGGATTTGCCTCCTAAACATAGACACATTCACCCACTTTTTATTAACCAAAAGTAGAATCACTATTTATAGTCAGTTTTGATTTCCAAAGAGTAAACATAACCAAAAATAAACTTCAGGAAAGCCAAGAAAAAAAGACACATCCTTTTAGGCTTCTCATTAGTTGGGTCTCTTTCCTTCTCCCCTGTGTACTTTTACCCTTCATTTATTTCCATCTACCCTTGCTCCCAGTGATTCCGTGTTTCCTGTGACCAGCTACCATGCAGCCTTTGATAAATTATGAAAACTTTCCAGATCACAGGCAGTAAGTACAGAGAAATTACTCCTAACTCAAGAAGGAGGAATTATCGTTATTGTTACTGAAAAACTCACAAATTATTAATTAGCATGTGGATTCAGATGTTGGCTACACTCATCTGACTATCAGAATTTGGCATCTTACAAAGGAAGGAGGGACACATTGGCTGAGATGGACCAGCTCTCTTTTTCCAAGGGACTTTAGTCTTTCCTGGTCTTACCCTCCAATGATGGAACTTTCTGTCTTCACAGTTCACATCTATGCTGGGAAGCAGAAGCCCTAGCAACTAATAACCAAAACAGTGGTTACGGGTATTGTGTGGTGGTGGTAGTGGAGGAGAGGATGTTTGTGTGCGCACGCGTGTAATTTTGATGGGAGGTCATGGAAGCGCCTTCTAGAAGGCTGAGTATGGATCATAGCTACGTGGGTGTGCACAAAACATAAAGTATATATTGTGTACTTGACTGCTTGATATTATCTGTCATTTTTTAAAAAAAATACTGCTTGGGGTCGGGGATTTGCTCAGTGGTTCCGCCTCCTGCCTCGCAAGCTCAAGGTCCCGAATTCGATCCCCGGTACGAAAACTAAAATACTGCTTGATCGTGTTGTCAGGCTGTTGGTGCTTTAGGCTGGAGATACAGTAAATTTTAGAGACCACAGGTCAGACACTGTCTAAGCTGTAGAGACCGCTAACCTCTCCAACTGCCGGCTGTTTCTTATAATTGCAGTTTCCGGCGATGTCCCACCAGGAAGAGTTTTGAGGTCAAGCTTAGGGCTATGCTGCATAGTCTAAACCCCTTTGAAAGAAAGCTCTGGGAAACCCAACAGGAAAAATAAAGTTTATTCCAATTTGTTCTAAACTAACTTAACCACGAAGCCCTTTTCACTATTAGCAGCTCATCAAAATCATCAACTACCTTTAGAGCAGCTTGGTCATGGCCACCAACCAAGGGCTCCCTCTCATCGGGTGGTTTGCGCGCCCCCTGCTGGTTTGGTGTAGTATGAGGTCAATCGGTCTCTGTTTTTACTAAATCGCACTCACAATCCAGAGTTGTCACAGGACTCTTAATCTTTGATCACATTTGATATCTTGGAGCCTGAAAAGCACAGTTCACTAGAATCCAGTTACAAAAAGGAAGTTCTTCGTGCAAACTCTCCAACATAGAAGCCAGGATATAAATCAGTGGTGAACAAGAGGGTTCCGGAGAAGGGAAGTGAATATGCTCAAAATGGGAGAACAAGGAATTGTAGGGGAGGTTCTTTGGAACTTTTACAGATTAAACACATGTGATACCTATTACTGTCTCTATTTTCAGAGTTGGGGATCCAATCCAAGGCCTCACGCATGCTAGGTAAGCCCTCCACCACTGAGCTACAACCCCAGCACATCTATTTTTGTTTTGTTTTTCGTACCAGGGATCGAACTCGGGTCCTTGTGCTTGTGAGGCAAGCAGAGGAACCCTGAGCTAAATCCCCAGCCCTCCTTCAACTTATTTTTAACAGATCTTCTCAACATCTAGTGGACTGATGAACTAATCCACAATTATATCTGAACCAAAAGGAAACATTTTCGCTGAAATTGACACTACTTTTGATTCTTGAGATTATAATTATTTAAATAATATCATACTTGATTTGGGGAGAGAAAAGTAATCAAAGTATTATAGAGGACAAAGGAGTGATAATAAGGCCCACTTATACTGTAATTCATCTTTAAAAGGCCTTATTTTATTCCATACTTTATGGACTGTCACATAATTTGAGAAGAAAATGTAAAAGTGTTTTCTACAAATAGCCTTTAACAATTTGTTTCACTTATTTTCCTGTCTCAAAATAGTAACTATTGCTAGCAGAGTTTTAAGTAAAATCGCCATTTTTGCTTGAATAGGTGAAGGTATGACTACACAGGCAACTAACTGCTCACTGGCATTAGGTAGGTTGAAAAGAGTTGGGCAGTCCAGTTTTCTTTCTCCTCCTTCACTTTTTTTTTTTCAGTACTGTAGAATGAACCCAGAAGCTTTGCAGTGAGCTACATCCTTGGCCCTTATTTATTATTTCATTTTTGAAACAGAGTCTCTCTGATGCTGAAATGCCCAGGCTGGGCTAAACTTGAAATCCTCCTGCCTCAGCCTACCAAAGTGCTTGGAGTACAGGTATGCCCATGCACAGCTTCCTCTCCTTCCCTTCTTATCTCCATCTTCTTTTTATCTCATTTAAATTTCTCTAAGACCCTTCAACTCCATGAAACGAAGCAGTTGAATCTCTAGATGTTTGTCTAATCTTTTCCCTGGGGCAAAGGTACTTATGCTCCAAATCTCAACATTTTAAGGAATATTAATGAGGATTGCATACTAAGAAGTATTTGCAAATAATTTAATTCCTGAAGAAATATCCCATGCAATATATCAGCCTCACTTTAGAAGACTTAAGAGGGCTGGGGGTATAGTTCAGGGGTAGGAAATTCAAGCAGCATCCAGGAAGCCCTGGTTTCCATCTTTAGCAGTGAAAACAAAATAAGAGATATGAGGTAAGAGGAAGGATGAACGTCTAAAGCGCAATCTCATTTTGATTTGCCAGTGAAATGTTCGTTAATCTGCAGAAGTGAGAATGAGCAATCACAGCCAGATCGAGAGTAATTATTGTGTGTGTGTGTGTGTGTGTGTGTGTGATCTCACGAATAACACATTGAAGGCTATGACTTCTCAATCTATAAAAGGCTCACTGTGGCATTTCCATGACCTTAATCCTTAACCCTGGCTGCTCTTTAGAATCCTTTAGGCCTAAGCTTTGAACAAATACCTATGTCTGAGTCCTCCTCCAGCCAATTAAATCAAAACCTACGGTGTGGGGTCCTGGGCTTCTACTTATTTTCACAGCTCTCAGGGTGGCCCCAGTGTCCACCAGCAGGAGCACCACTGCTCTGTGACATCCGAGAAGCCATTGAGTCACCTGTTATTGTTGACATCACAAGCACTCTGTGTTCTTTTCCACACACTTGGAGACTGGGTCTTTAGAGGAAATGGACACCTGGTGCTGTCCTTTTATCTCTTTTTCCCACTTCTTAAAACCACCATCACTAAGAGTCATTAATTTCTTTATGATCGCAGTAGTGGACAAATAATTTTACCAAGTGCTTTCCCACCACAACTACAGAACAGTACATTTTATAGAGCACTGACCAGAAGTTATCTCACTTACAAATCTGCTTGTTTAAAATTTGTGTGTGCAGAAGGGGGAAGGTAGTATTTATGGAATTTTGTGACCTGTTGCTTGGCAACGATACCTGTGACAGTTAAGCTTCTGCACTCTGAACAGTCAGAGTTAGGAGGCTCAGCGAGCCCCGTTGATGGCTTCCTGCTAACAGAAGGAAATGAGTTCTTCATTATGCAGAGGGTTTGAAAATTTGTACTTCAGAGCGTACCATCCGTCGCTATGTCACAATTCTTGTTCTTGACTCCGCAAATAATTCTGCCCTTTAGCCCTCTTACTTCTCAAGAGTTTGATCTGATCAAGCACAGGGCCCGAGCATCTTGGCAGAATGAGAGGCGATGGTCCGATTCCTCCGTGACAACGTACGCAGGCAGTTACCGAGAAAAACCACTGGTTGAGTCCACCTGCAGCCGCCTCACTTTTAGAGCAGGGCAGCCCAAGCCTGGGTGTAAGCGGTAAGATTCCTTTGTCATTTGCACCTGGTATGTCACTATAAATAGCAGTGCTTTTAAAAGAAGGAGGCGTTATAGAGCTTGACAGACTCCACAGACGTTAACCCTGTACATTTTCCTGTGTAAATGTCAGTGGGAAGAAGAGCTAAATGTCAGTTACCAGCTGAAATTATGATTCCATTCTCTATTTACTACTCCTGAAACGACACAGAACTACCACCTGCTCTTGACGGCACAGGAACAGGAATGTCTGGCTGAACTGTGGCCGTTTTGTGTTTCCCCAGCAAATTCTCCTAAGAATTTCACTTTGTTTCTTGTATAGTGTTGCCACTTTCAGGAGTTAAAAAGTTCCCTCAGAGCAGGGAGAATGTGGACTAAATCGTCCTGTTCTCCCCACCTGAAGTTAGGAGGCATCGAAAAGGCATTTTGAGAGCGCACGGGGAGGCCAGGTCTGTGACAGCACAGTCAGAACATTCACTTGAATTTTACGTGGTGCCTGCAACTGTAGAAATAAGTCATCAGCTCAAGGGAAGGAGATTTTATAGTATCCGCAGTGGGGGAAAGTTCTAAACAAAGCAGATTTCCACCAGGGTGGAGAATGGAAAAGCACCCTGCCCCAAGGAATGAGTATGGACCTCAGCAAAGAACCACATAGCCCCTAGCACTGTTAGGGAGCTGCCAAGAACTCTGGGGTTGTGAGACAGAAAAGTACAAGTGTGGGTTTGGAAAAATGTGAAATCTGTCCCTTAGGATGTTAATTAGTAAATATTCAAATTCTGGGAACCTTGTTTGAAAATCTGTTGGATTACTGTCTCAACCTTCAGATGTGAGGAGTAACCCACATACTTCCTTAATAAATATTACTTTGCCTTCCAGGATTTTTCAAATCACCAAAACATAGTGCTAAATGTTTCAGGGGCTGGGGATTTAGCTCAGAGGTTCTGCTGCCAGCCAGGCAAGTGCAAGATCCTGAGTTCGATCCCTGGTACTAAAAACAAAACAAAACAAGCAAACAAAAATGATTAGAAAACTAAAATGTTTCAGAAGTAGTTTTCAATCCCTTGCCTTATGTGCTTTAACAGCTCCTGAGTTGGTTGACATTTCACTTAGTTTTGGGGGAGTTCCTCTGCTAATTCTGCAATCCTTGAGACACTGCTGGCCAGACAGGGCAATCTTCAAGCACTACTGGGGTCATCTGAAAACAGTGTTTGAGAGCGAGTCTCCAACCAGAACCATTCACCAGAGAAGGAAAAAAAGATATTTAATAGCCGCGAAAAAATGCAGACAAATGACATCTGCTGAAAATGTACAGGACTTTGAATTTGCTTCCTATTCAGGGTGTGGTCATTAAATGACTTATTCAAACCAAGGCACTTTATGACATTGCCAACCACAAAGGGACACGAGCTTGTAATGTCTATCTGTTTGGGGAATCCCAGACATAAAAATAGTCTGCACAATTGCCCACTACAGAATACGACTGCCTGTTTTTTTTATTTTTTTGGTACCAGGGATTGAACTCAGGTCCTTGTGCTTGCAAGGCAGGCGGCAGAACCACTGAGCTAAATCCCCAGCCCTACCTGTTCTACTAAAGGTTGAGAAAAAAGCAAGTGTTGTAAAGATGAAGGGCAGATTAAGCTCATTTTAAAAATACTGATTATTTTCTATATTTACATTTGGTTTTAATAATCTTTCTTGGTTAATCTTAGCCTAGTACAAATATCTCCTTATATTCTGAGCAAAAATGGATGAAAATTTAGTAGAGCTATAGAAAGACTTCTTTAGACTACTCTGTAGTGTGAGGATTCTATAGGTGTGGCTGTATAATAAAGTTAAGAGAATTGTGTAATGGTCCAAAGAGGATTGTTGAAATTAAAAAAAAAAATGCAGTGACTGATCATTTACAGTATTATGCCAGGAGAATGCTAGTCTACAAAAATATTTTTCCTCATCTTTTAACCCACTCCAGACAGTGAATAGCCATATTATTACAAGACAGAAGAAACTTGGTGGAAATCTTAATAATTTGGTTCTAAACCAATTTTAATATCAAATATGTAAAGTTCATGATGTGCACTAGGAGAATGGAAATAAGGTGGTGCAGAATTTATATTACTATGGAACATCATTGTCCATCCCAATTATCTGCCAGTGTTAAGATAAGGGTATATATATATATATGTAATTGGTGTAAGAATACTCTCCCCCATGCATATATAGATATATCTATATCTATCTATCTATCTATCTATCTATCTATCTATCTATCTATCTATGTAATAAGTAGATGGACAAATAAGCTCTGATATATCCATACAATGGAATATTATTCAATAACAGAAAGAAATGTTTCAATCTGCAAAAGACATGAATGAGCCTTAGATCTATATTCCTAAGGTAAAGAATCCAATCTGAACAAAGTCACATATTGCATGATTTTGAATGTATAACTTTCAGAAAAGTAAAACTACTATAGTAAATAGATCAGTGGTTGCCAGATGATGGGGAAGAGTTGAGCAGGTGAAATATAGTGATGTTTTGCATCTGTGAGCCTATTATACATGACATGGTAGTAGTGTATATAAGACATTAAATATTTGTTGAAACCCACAGCACTATATACCACAAAAATGAAACACAAATTTTATACAAAGAGTATATGCAAATTATTAAAAATTAGCTGAGTGTGGTGGCACACACTTGCAATCCCAATACTCTGAGAGGCTGAGACAGGAAGATGGTAAGTTTGGGCCCTGCATGGGCAAGTTGGCACCTTGCAAGACCCAGTCTGAAAATAAAAAGGTGCTGGGGATGTAGATCAATGTGAAGGCCCTGGGTTCAATCCCCAGTATGAAAAAAATAGATATTTAGGAAGCTGGAAGAACCAAGACTAGAATAAAGATTGTGAAAATGAATTTACATCTTATTAATGTATGCAGCAACTTCACTGAAGGCAGTGTGAGACTAAAGGCTAAGGAACTTTGGAAATGAATTGAGTTTTTAAAACCAAAAGAGTAAAAGAACTGTCTGTACTAAGGTTGAAAAAGTTGTTTCCCATAATAGTTTGGGTACTAATTCTGAAACCACTATATGCATATACAGTACTGGAATTGAACAAGTCACCAAATGGGTGATAAATGGTGGGAAGCAGGTTTTTTGCTGCTGGAATGGTAGGTAAAAGAGGAGGAGGGTAGAATGACCCATGTGGTAACACACTGAAAATGGATCCATCAGTATGACTCATGTTTTGCATATATAAAAAGGATATATTATCCTCATTGCAAAAATGATGAGCCTCTAGTGATAATTATGCACGTTAGTGCACACTTATATATTTCCTTTCTGTTTGGAAGAAAGTCATCATTTTTAGCTTATGTCAATGTGGACCACTAGCTGAGGGGACTTAGAAGCAACACTTTGCTTGTTTGGTTTTTTTTTTGTTTTGTTTTCTTTTGGTACTGGGGCTCGAACTCGGGTCCTTATGCTTTCAAGCCAGGTGGTGGAAACACTGAGCTCAATCCCCAGGCCCAGAAGCAACACTTTGAATCAAAGCATATCTGGTGGCCAATTTTGATTTCTCCCCCACCCCCATTAAGTTTATTGGTACATTTAAAGAAAACGATGCAGTTACATTTCTCATTGGAATCTTGTACCTTTACATGACATGTCTTGGTTCTTGTTTTTTCCCCGTACCCCTGCCCTCCCTTCACCCCCTTCACCCTTCCCTATTTACCAGACTTTGTTTTTTCCATTTTTCACATTTTCCCCTTATTTCCTTTCCCCTCCCCATCCCACTTCCCTTTTAGCCAATTTCTTCCTAGTTCACACTACCATTTTTACCATTTGAAGCTTATTTACACTTTTAGTTTTTCACATCAGAGAAACTATTCAGTATTTACTTGTGTGTCCTATTTATTTTACTTAAGAGTATAGACTCAGTGTGCATCTATTTAGCTATAAATGTCTCTAGTTTCTCATTCTCATTTTTTTATTTTTTATTTTTTATTTTTTTATTGAGTTTATTGGTACATTTAGGGATACAGTACAGTTACATTCATTGTTGGGATCATGTACCTTTACATGGCAAGTCTTGATTCTCATTTTTTTCCCCTTACCTCTGCCCTCCCTTCACCCCCTCCTCCCCTCCCCATCTACAAACACTTTATTTTCATCTTTTCATTCTCTCACATTTTTTTCTTTTCCCTTTTTGTTCTTCCCCTACGTATCTAGTTTCTCATTCTTTATGGCTGAGTAGTGCTACATTTTACAGAAAAACCACATCTTCTTTATCCAGTCTCCAGCTGATGGGCAAATGGGCTGCTTCCAAGTTTTAGCTATTACAAACTGTGCCACTATAAACATGGGTGCATATATATCGCTGTGGTATGATTCTTTTAATTCTTTTGGAAAGATACCCAACAGAGAGATACTGGGATTAAATGGGACCTCTAATCCTAGTTCTTTGAGGTATCTCCATATTGATTTCCCTAGTGGTTGCACCAGTCTGCACTCCCATGAACAATGAAGTGTTCCTTTCTCCCCACAGCCCCATCAGCATTTGTTATTGGTTGATTTCTTGTTAGCAACCATTCTTTCTGGGGTAAGGTGGGATTTCAGTGTTGTCTTCATCTGCATCTCTCGAATGACCAGTGATGGTGAACGTTTTTTCATCTACTTATTTGCTACTTTTACTTGTTTGTCAGAGAAATGTCTGTTCAGTTCAGATGCCCATTATTGATTTGGGTCTTTGTATTGGGGGGGGGTCTGATTTGTTTGAGTTCTTTATATATTCTAGATAGTAGTCCTTTGAGGAGTAGCTGGTAAAATTTTTTCCCACATTGCATGTCATCTCTTAGCTCTGTTGGTGGTTTCTCTTGCACTGCAAAAACTTTTTAATACAGTGAGACCCGAGTTATTGATTCTTTGTGCAAGTTCTCATGCTGCTGAGGATTTGTTCATTAATACTCTGCTCCTATGCCATCGTCTAGTACCTGCTTTATGAT